GAAGCACTCACGGGTTAAGTAACTCGACTTTGTTACGTGTGGATCTGGAATTTAAATCTAAGCAGACTGGTTGTAGAGTCCAAGGTCTTAACCATTACTTTGTACTGTATGTATGTGTGTACAATATGTATATATGTGTATGCATGTGTGCATGCATATATATGTTACATATGCTGTGTGTGAGTATAGGTGTAACTATCTACCTATCTCAATGAACACACACACATATTCACACTAGATAGGTAGATATGTGCTGCTATGTGTGAGTACACACACGCACACACAGATATACCCATCAGTGTGTAGCTAATGTTTTAAAGAACATATGCACATTTTGCTTTACAGATGCACAGTTTCCTTTAAATAATAAGCATGCTTTCTTAAATGATCATGTATAATATTGCAACTCACAAAATAAGGAAGCAAGAATTCTAAAGAATAACGCTACTGTTAACATGTGATGACCCATGACAAATGCTCTGCAGTGAAAGCTTTTTGAGACAGATGAAAGGAAAGGCACAAGTAGTTCAAAGCAAGGTCTTGTGCATTTGTTTTGGGCTACTTTAGCATGTGATGGATAAATTCGGTGGAAAATGTGTTCTTTTAGGATTTTCCCACTGAACAAGAAACAAACATAAAAGGCTGGCTTTTAAATATTATGGCTCTGCAATTCAGTGACTGAATGTCTCAGTGTTCTCTAATTGGCTAATTGGACATAGGGGAGTGGTTCAGGGCAGATGGCTTACACATTGTCTTACACATTAACAGGACCATTAAAAAGCCTGTGTGAGTTTTGTTTTGTATTGCTTTGCCTGTTGCTTTTTAAAATGAACTAGGCAAGGTGCTTAAAGGATGGCCCAGCAAAGTAGCTGAAATGTCATTTTTAAAATTTGATCTAAAATTTACTTGGAAATAAGGCCTGTGCTTATTGCAATGGCCTATTAAATAATGAATATATACAGGGTAATAAAAATGAAAGTACTCCTCTCTTTCCTATTGATTTACTTAAGAGAAAATTTAGAAACTTTGGATTGAAATTCTTTATTTTTTTTATATTTCTAACTTGATAATTCTAATGCGACCTTAATTGAAAGATGAATCCAAAATAAACTCACGATGTAATTGTTAATTTAACAAAATAATACTGAGTTTAAAGAATGTGTAATAATAATGAACAAACCTAAATTGAGGTCTAAGAGAAGTGCAAGTCTCAGAAGCTTGCGAATGATGAATAAGTGGGGTGGGTAATACCAGTTACATTGGCCTTTGTTTTCATTGTACTAAAGTTGTAGATAGTTAATGAAATATTTGAGTAGCAAAGATAAGAGACAAAGATTTTTTCACAGAATACCGCTGATGAAATTCTTGTAAAAGGGCAGCCGCTCAACTTGGTTGATGTCTATTAAAGACCAAATTAGCCTATTTTTGAAAAAACAAAAGACCTGCAGAGTCATTCTTCCTCCAGGCTCATATTCCCCTTTGAATAGTAGGAAGTGTGTTATGAATGTAAATGAACTTTTTAGATTTAGTTAAAAAATGATTCATGGAGCGTCAGTAAGCTTTTCAGCCCTTTCTGTTAGCTGGATGCCCTGGGAGCTGCCTGCCACTTCTCCCATGTGTCTCTCAGTCTCCCTGCCATTAGGGCATCTGGGGGACAGGGCACATTTCCCCCCTGCAGTTTGCATCCTTCCTAGTTTTAGCTAAGTTTTCTGCTCTAAACCCTTCTCTGTTTCTTAACCCTGGTGAGCAGGGCTACAGTTCTAGGACCCCTAGAATTTTATCCTTCTGGACAAAAATCTAAGGCAAGTGCAGCTTCACTGCCCATCCCACGCCCCGTCCTCCGGTCACTGCCCAGATATTCTCATAAGAGGCAACCTTCCAAGCAGGAGGTACCATTAGATCAGATCAGCACCAGAAGAAAAAAAGTCAGCCAGCAATAGGAGGAATGGGCCTAAAAACTTCTCAAAGACACAGGACTTGTCTTACTCATCTTAACATTTCTAGAGCTGCCAATGGTGCCTCACAGTCACAGGTGTTCAATAAGTATCGGTTGTACTGAACTGGGCCTTCTCTTCTCTCTCCCAAATTCGTCCTCAGGAGCAGCGGCCCCATTCTGCGTTCCTTAAGAAGCTATCATAAAAAAAATATTGTACTTATAATGCCCAGCATGTGATTTGCTCCAGATTAACGAAGTTTCCAAAATTTTAGATACCTTAATTTAAATGTTTTTAGAAGTAAGATATGATATGTAATTTGGGATATATGCTATGGTAAGAGTTTGTAGGAAGTGAGTCCAGCCAAGACCAGAAAGACCACTCAGCTGAGCCCAGCTCAGGTTGGCAGCCCACAAAATCATGAACTAAATAATTGGAGTGATTTCTTATGCAGCATACACCTTTGTTCTCAGAAAGATGACCGTAAGCCGCTCTGGCATTTATTCTACTCATGTCAAATCCAGTCTTATTAATAGCCCCTTTTTCTTAACAGTTGAGTGATAGGCCCTGAGCTGAGTATCAGTGACCTGGCTCAAGTAACCAAGCTCAGTCGCCGTGGCCAGCAGGTTGGATGCTTGGTGGCCATACCTGGGTTCTTCCTAGAAGATGCGGTAATAGAATGGACTGAGAAAGTGGTAATTCCCAAAAGACAAAAAGTAATAGATGTCCCATGCACAGGATGCTCTGTATCTCATTGCTGTAATGTGAGAATTGAGCTGCTGTGAAGTGTCCCTCTGGTTGGTCATTTATTGCTTTGTACAGTAGAGTCTGTCATCACCACAAATATCAGAGAAGCTCTTTCATTCATTATTCTATTTGCATGATTTGAAACATGAAAGATCACTAGGAAAAAAGTCCATTTAGAATCAATTTTGTATTTTGGATGCTTTAGTGTTTGGATTGTTGGATAGCTTATTTTCTACCATATTTTATCCTTGAAGCATACCAGAGCTCTTTTCTCCTAAAAATGAGGGAAGGATGTGTTTGGCTACTTTTATGCTCTGGCATGTTATGGGGTGACACATTATAGCACATACTCCTATTTTTATGGAAAGTAGAAGGATACTAACCAAAAAGTGAAGAAAAAGATGTTGTTAATGCTTGAATAATAAGTATAGAGACAATTGACAGGTAATGGACAAAGAATGCTATTTCCTTTTAACCTTACTTAACAAGCTCTGCCTTTTAGTCTTTTGATTTCCTCTGGCTGACTTGTGGATGTGCTTGGCTTGAAGTCACTTACCCTTAAAATTAATGAAGACTAAGAGGTGTATGACATGGTATATGAGTAGGAATCGTGGTGGAAAGAATTGACAGGGCTTAATAATCCTTCAGCAGGTGAAGACTGTGTGGGTTCCTTCTGTTTAAACATTGGCTTTGTGATGGGTAATTCACCAAATCATCCTCGTGAGTAAACCACTCAGTAATCAAAAATGAATTATAACACATCTACAGGATGGAATAATCTGCTGTTAAAATAGTGACATGGGAAAGTGTACATAATATTTGGCCAAGTGAAAAATATTTCTAGAACTGCATTCTGTCATCATTTATATATATATATATAGTTACATATATAACCATATATATATGGATATATATATATATATATATATATATAACAAAATATTACTGGTGGGGTCTCCAAAGACAGATAATTTGAGTGCATTTCTCCCTTTAATGCTTCATTATGTTTTACAGGGTCCCAGTGGTGGAATGTGTTACTTTTGTAATTATAAAGATATAAATATAAAAATGCAAAATGTATGAATTAACTATTGCATTATAGTACCACATAAAAAGTCATGCTGACAAAATATTTGCAACCAGAAAAAACTGCTTCCCTAGCTCTCAAGATGTGTCCCTCTTGTACACATTTTGAAATCAGTATTATAGTGATGGGGATATTTTTTGGGGGTATTGCCAGATCTAAGGTAAACTCATTACTGAGACTTACAGAGTACACCCTATTGTATCAGACCCTGTTCTAAGAAGTGTACCTGCTTTAACTCATATACTATTCACAACATCATATGAGTTAGTTACTAATGTCACCATTTTTCAAATGAGAAAAATGAAGCACAGAGATGTTAAATTAAGGTGTGTTCAAGTCAGGCTCCAGGGTTCTTGCTCTTCACAACTATTCTATAGTTCTCTCCTGTCTTGTGAGAGAGAACATTCCAGGTATCACTCATCTGAAAAGGAACGATTTCTCAGAGAGGAGAGCAGACCCGTGAGCGCAAAGCTCAAGTAGCCACTAGGCAGCCTGACTTCCTTCTCTTTGTCTATTCATGGAGGAATTCACCTTGAGCTTTGAGGACAGCATCTACCATGCAGAAGCTGAAGCATCGGAAAACCACTAAGAAAAACTGTTTGTCAGATGATGGCTGACTTACAACCCATTTCCTTCAGTGAGTGAGGCCATTCTAAATGATCCAGCTGCCAGCTAACCTGCTTCCTGAATGAGCCCAGCAAGATCAGCTGAGCCAGCCCAATTCCAAGAATCATCCAATCAACCCACAGAATGAGGAGCTAACATATGCTTATTGTTTAAAATCGCTAAGTTTTGAGGTAGTTTATTACACAGCAAAACCTAATTGATACAGTGCTCTTAGCCTGGTAAGAATTTGGAGTCTTTCCCTTGATGACTTGACCCTACATTAGCTCTTCATGTCTTCACCGAACCTCTGAATTTCAAAGCCCGTATCAGCTCCCTGGATTTGGCAGACCACCTCATATTGCCTGCAACAGTATTGCCTAGTTCCTCCCAATGGTGGCCTCTGCAGGCTTGTTAGCTCTCAACTCACTGTACCTTCCACATTCTTTCACAGGAAGTACGTTATGTAGGTAGTATATATTGGGTTGTCGGAAAAGTCATGACGTATTTTTTCTGTTTTTCATTGCAAAAATGCATCATGACTTTCCCGACAGCCCAATAGGAGTATTCCTTGTATGCTGTATAAGAGCCAAGGGAGTATCAGGGTGCCATCTCCTGTTCTTTCTTACCTTAAATCCGCCACAATTCCATTCCTATTTGGCAACAGCTGCTCTGTGTCGCAAGATAGGAGTCATGTGAGGCTGTCTCCTTCCACAGCTCCGGATTGGCTGTAGAAATAAAGACCATGCAGATAAGAAAGCCACCATCATTTGTGTTTGGTAGAGTCAAAGCCAGGCACGGTAGTAGGAAAGCTTTATAATCAAAGACATAAAGGAGGCTTTAGGTAGGCTCTGATTGGTGACGGTTGGCATAGGAAACCTGGATGCAGGCTAACTAGAAGTGGGACATCTCATGCGATTGGTTTGGAAAGCACGTTTGGCTTTCTACGGTTGGTCCTGAGTTAGAAGCTGGAGCAAAATTTAGACAACCTGGTAATTATTAACAAAGTGCTAATCACTCTCGGCCAATTGCTATAAAGGTTGTGTTTTCTCCTCCTGAACTGGTTACTGCAGAGGCTGTAAGTCAGCATTCTGTTGCCATATACAGGCTGGCCATGTTTCATTTGTATAATCAATCTCTCGTTTTCCCTTCTGGTCATCCTGTCACTTCCCAATTCAGGGAAGGCTACAAATCCAGATCTTAACTATTTGGGGATCGTTCAGTTGTTTTTATGATCAACTGTCTTGCAAGATCACGTTGAGCTTTTTGCTGTTGTATTATCATGGTGATTATCTGTCAAGAGAGCAGCTATGAAGTAAGATTTAAGATTCTGGAGAGAATGAAAGAGATCAGCATCAGGACAACTGACAAAAAAGAGATTAATAGTCCCTAAGATACTTCAGAACCAGGAACCCCAATTGCTCAATCTAGGCCAAGTAAACAAATCCCATGGGTCATAAGGGTCAACCTTAAAAAGCCAAGGAGGGCCAGCTGAGCAGCATGTTGGTTAGGAGTTGGCTTGGGAGGCCAGCTCTGAGCAGCAGGGCCCTGGTTTGGATCCCACATGAGGGCCAGTGATGCTGCACCTTCTACAGCTAAAATGGTGAAAAACAGCTCGACCTGGAGCTGGGCTGCCATGAGTCTTGCAGGCGACGGCATGGGCTGCAGTGGGGCTGGCTGGCAGCGGGCGAGCGCTTTTGTGAGCTGTTGTGAGGCACCATGAGCGGCCGTCCAATGGCTGGCAGGTGACTGCCTCAGCTGGAAAGAGCGTAATGATGGTCCCAACATGGGCCAGTGAAGCGATGTCCTTCACAACTAGACTGAAGAACAAAAGAACAGCAACTTGTCTGTTCCCTTCCCCAATTCTCTGATTCCCCAATGCTGTTCCCATCCCCCAATTCCCCAATAAAATCTAAAAAAAAAAAAAAAGCCAAGGAGCTTTTTCCTGAAGGCATTATATTGCCTGCTCTACTTTGCCTGTTTTATTAATCTAAGTACAGCAAAATGTGTTAGCAATGGTGCAGACACCACCATGACTAGCCAGCAAAAAATCTAGAACAATGCCATTGTCCATCACTCATTGTGCCAATGAGTTGAGGTTGGTCTGTATTTCATCTAGGGTGGAGATGTATCGCTGATACTTTCTGTCAAAGTTAATAATAAGTTTCTGAGAGTACTTTCTACTTGTAAGATTCCCACCATTGAGAACACAGCTCTGATTGTTCACATAAAAAATTAGTAATTTCCCCGGTTGGAGTGCCTGAGTAATCAAGAGTAGGTTCATCTGAGAATTTGCATCAGAGTTGAAACTTCCTAAGTTGGTGATTTCCAGAACTAGGGTCTCTGTGTACAGGTAAGTCTTGGAATACTATTCCTAAAGTGCATGGGGTATTAGTCTGAGGCAAACAAGACCAGGCATCCTGGCTGCCAAAGAAACAGCATCCAGTAGGAGTTGTTGACACTGGGAGGTCAGAAGAAAGGCCTAACATTAGCCTAGTTACATATTTGGATCTCTATTAGTCTCTTCCAGATGGCAAGTAATTGGCCCATCACCCATGAAGGTCATTGAATTTAAAGGTAGAACTGATGGTAATAATTGGTTCTTTTTCTGGGAGAGAAGGACACTACCAAATTCATGTTGATTTATTTAAGGTTATTTGTCCATGTAGCTGCAAATGTCATCAGCTGTAATTTCCTATGATCCTGTTTGATAAGACTGGAATTGCCCAGAGGTTTTTATCATGATGATCTGATGATGGACGGCATATGCAAGTAAGATTCAGGACAGTGTCCAACTGTTTGGGATAATGTAAGGATGGTGTTAGAATGAGTATGTTCTGACCTAACAATTATAATGAAGATGAAAGGAAAGAGAAAAGGGGCCATTATGGATGGACAATAACAAGAGGTCTGTAGAAAATGAGAAGATGAATGGTTATAAGCAAGCAGATGAGGAACAAAACAAGAGTTTGTCAGGGTCTTAGTCCCATGTCTTAGGCAGCAGCTGTTCACTATCCTAAATCATCTGTATATTCCAAAGATCTTGGGTCAGCTGTCTACTTCTAAAGACTGGCTGCTACTAGAGCATCTCTGAGAATCTTAAATTTGGGGTTCCTTGTTGGAGTAGCCTGCCAACTGTGTGGAATTCTGAATTACTTTAGTTGTGAAACATAAACCCAAGGATTGACTGCTGCTAACAGTACCTGATAAGATCCCTTCCAATGAAGTTCAAGAGTTCTCTGATGTCTCCCCCAATAGATGAAATCTCCAGGTTTAAGATCAGGAGGAGGCTGAGGCTATTTAAGACGATATGGTGGGAAGGCAGCCTTAACCTGTTGATGATAGGATTCAGTACATGAGTCCCTTGTAATATTGGGTTGTCAGAAAAGTCATGATGTATTTTTTTCTATGTTTTTCATTGAAAAAATGCATCATGACTTTTTCAACAACCCAATATTTTGCCATCTTTGCATGAAGCAGGGTAGAATATCAGAGGTGAGACCCCTTAAATGCATGGGTCTTCCAGCTAACATGTCATAGAGGGATAACTGAGGGACTGGACTAGATGGTCATAATCTCCTAGTGTTTCACCTTTTCTCTATGTGCATGATTGAATTACAGTCTAATCAAATTTTATTGAAAATGTTTTAGGTATGGTTTTTAGTGGACTTGGCCCTAAATTTGGGGCCATTTTTCACTCTCGGGTTTATTCTAAAAAGAGGGACTCTGTAGATCCCGTTCTGTGTCAGTTCAATCAGTTTTTGCCACCCAGGATGTAGCATCTGAGGTTTTGACCAATACGTGTACACGTTAATATAGTTCAGGTGACACTGTGGCATATGCACCCAAAAGAAGTCTAAATTCTATGACTAGCAGCTGGCCTTTTCCGGGGTGGAGAAATTCTGAATAATAATTATTCAGTTTGGGTCCAAGGCCTACTTGATATCTGACTCTTGGGAGGGATGGATTTTTAGAGGTAACTAGCATTTGGGGGTCTTAGGAGAGTCAATAGGAAAAGGCAGATCTGTACGAGAGAAAGAAGAGAGGGGAGTTGATGGGAGTGTGGAAGGACCGAGATTAGAAGGGTAAGGGGGAAGAGGGTAGAGCTACTGGAGGACAAAGAGGGAGAATTTACTTGGGAAATGAATCTAGCTCAGGGGTCGGCAAACTTTTGAGACAGAAGAGCCAATCCTGTCCCTCACAACAATTTAAAAATTATTCGACAGCCATAAAACAAATGAAATCACCATTATGTGAATAATATCCTTTAAAATTTTTATAAATGAAACTATGATAGTTCTATTTTCATTTGCAATTTTACTTCAGAGCCACATGTACGTACCCAAAGAGCCACATGTGGCTCGTGGGCCACAGTTTGCCAACCCCTGGTCTAGCTTGTCATTGCCTAAGTTTGTCAGGCTGCTTACTGGCTTGGGCCAAAGAAACTCTTAGTGAAGCAATTTTTCAATCAGAATTTCATTTGGAGGCCTCTGCATACCAATAAAAAATGTAGCCCATTAAATCTGAGAAACCTCTGTCCCTCTTTTCCAAGGCACCTCTCAAATGAACAATTTTGTTCAAGCCAAATGTTCCCCAGGGTCCAAAAAATAGGCAAACAAGTAGTTCCTCCTTTTTTTTTTTTTTTTTTTTTTTTTTTTTTTTTTTTACTTCCTATAGAGTAGAAGCTTCCTCCACATTATATTCCCTTTCTTCCCCCACCTTTAGATTTCTATCTTCCAGGCAGGATCCACTGTTCTGTCTCCTGGAGCCATAAGACTTTTGCTTTTGCTTAAAGGTAGTGGTGGTCAAGGTGGAGGGCGGATTGATGGGGGGAGAAATATCCTCAATGAACTGGTAATATCATTGCAACCGGCAGAGATTCTTCACCTCTCAGATGAACTTGAAAATATATGAAAATTCAGGTCACACGGAAGCTTCTGAACATCTTTGTGCTACAAATGTTGGTGGGTGAGCCTTTTCTCTGGCCTCAATATTTGTCCAGTATTTTCTTTGTGCCAGGCTCTGTCCAAGGCACGTGGAGACACTAGTGAACAAAACAAAGATCTCTGCCCTCATTCAGCTTTCATTCTAGCGGGGAAGACAATAAGTAGTAAGCAGAACAGGACAGTTAATAGTGTGTTAAAAGGGTGACAAGTGTTATGGAAGAAAAACAATGCAGAGCGGGGTAGGGAGGATCAGGCACAGAGGGAAAGGGGAGAGGTAAGTCTGTCTCCTTTTCTTTGGCGAGGCTTGACGTCGCCGTTTCACTAGCAACCTTATTGCTAAGCCTCAGTGAATAAGATTTCGACAATTAAACCTTCCCTCAGGGTTTGAGGATTGTTATGAAAGAGATGCACACGCACACACAGGGCCCTGGTGAAGTTTGTGGGTATGACTGCTAATGTTATTAATCCTCAGCACAGCTGCAGGCGGAGTCAGCTGCCACACATCTCAACTGGTTCCGGATTCAGAGAAGCCTTGCATCTGACTTGGCTACAGAGGTGATTAACCATGTCTGGGCTTTATTGTAAAGACCTGATTTACATTAAAAAAAAATCGTAAGAAGAGAAAGTCACAAATGAAGACTCTGTAAGTCAGTCATCACACACAGAGGGTGCCAAAAAAATGTATACACATTTTAAGCAAGGAAAACTGTATTAAAATTGTAATACTCAATATATACCGATAACAAAAGATGAATACAAGTCACGTTTGACTTCTGCAATTACAAGAGGTGCTCAAAGCGGTTACCAACAGCGTCCAGACACTTCTGATTACGGTGAACTACTGCTTGAGCAACATTGACCAAAGTGTCTGCTCATATACATTTCTTTGGCACCCCCGGTATGTGTAAAATAATGTTGTTATTATCAGTTTCTCTCAGCAGCCTCAGGAATCTTTCTTGGCTGCCCTAGTCAGTGAATGACAAGATTCAGTTATTCTACATTGTCCTTCCAAGATAGAACCAACTTTCCTAAAGAAAGTAGCAAAGCTTTTTAAAAGCCATTATTTAGTAGGGAATGATAGCTGTATAATAAAATATTAATTGTTCTAAAAAATACCTCGGAGAAGAATACTGTATTTACCAGAAACAATAAATTCTTTTCTCTGCATTTCTATTTCTATTTAGTTTAGTATGGTCTGTTTCACCAACTCAGGATACACATATGGTTACTTCTTTTTGTTTTTCTAACCACTGCTGAAGAGCTGAAAATCCAGGGTTTCCATTTCTGAAACCTTGAGTTGTTCAAAAACACAAGTGTTTACTGAGTACAGTGGGGTCCATCCTGTTTCCTTATACACCAAGCAGAGTGGATGTGCCACGGTCCTTCCTCTGCCTCCTGCTGTTGAGGACAGATCCTTTGAAGTTTGGTTTGTAGAAGCTTTTGTGTAAATGTCAATTTTCATTTCTCTAGGATAAATGCGGAAGGTGAAATTGCTGGGTTGTATGGTAGGTCTGATTTTCATTTTAAAAGAAACAGCCAAACTAATTTCCAGAGTGGTTACACCATTTTACATTCCTGCCAGCAAGGCATGAGTAACAGTTTCTCTGTCTGCTCGCCAGCATTTGGTGGCGTCCATATTTTTTTTATCTTACTCATTCTGATAGGTATATAGTGATATCCCATTATAGTTCTAGTTTACATTCCTCTACTGGCTAATGATATTGAGCACCTTTTCATGTGCTTATTTGCCAGCTGTATACACTCTGGTGAAATATCACTTCACATCTTTTGCCCATTTTCTAATTGGATTGTTTGGGGATTTTTACTATTGAATGTTGAAAGTTCTTTACTTATTCTAGATACAAATCCTTTATCAGATATGTTATTTGAAAATATTTCCCCCAGTATATCGTTTGTCTTTTCATCCTCTTAACAGGGTCTTTCACATAACAAATTTAAAAAATTTTTTGATGAGGTCCAATTAATCAGTTTTCCTTTCATCCACCTACTTTTTATGCAACAAATAATTATTTATTATATGTCTAAAATTTATCAAGATAATATCCCAGGGACCCATAGGAATCAAAGATGTGCATGGTCCCAACTTTAAGGAATTTCCATTCTATTGATAGTTGGGGATATTGAAGATCTACTCAAACAACTGATATTATGTAACAAGTACTAAATGTCATGGAAGATGTAGAGATACTTTTTTTTTTTTTAGAAAATTAGATATCATATTTTAGTGGAGGGAAGGTTTTACCACTTCTATGCCAGAGAATGCCACAAAATGGCATAGAAACTTCCTTTATTAATTCATTTTTCCAGGTTAAAATTATAATTTTTAGATAATTAACATATTTGATCTCATCCTGTGCAAAGAAATCCCACACGTATTGCAGAAATTAGTAACGATCTTGCAGGGCAATGGAGAGGATTGCAACATATTTTTTTATTTAGGGAATCTGGGATTCACCAAAGTGAAGTAACTTGCCCAAGGTCATGCACACAGGAAGTGGTAGGGTCAGGCTGGCACTCCAGTATTGCGATTAATGCTCTTTAATTCTACCCAGAATCCTCCGAGACATGTCCTTTTCCTGCCAGTGTAAACGCATCTGGCTAAGAAATGGATTGATTCATGTTTTAAAAGGATATGCGATACATTTTCTTGGTGTACAAAAGTCAACGAGCTCTTCTTGATAAAGGAAGAATCCATTAAAACTCTCCCAGTGATCAAGATCATGCAGAAAATGGAAAAAACAAGCACTGCCCGTGAGTCATGAGGGGCAAAAGAAGGGATGGATATTGCTGGAATTTCACTGGATGACAGCTCAGGATGGAGTAACCAAGGAGGTGGCATTTTAGGTCATCTTCTTGCAGGCTCATTGTTACCCAAGTCATCTTCAAATGCCAAACTTTTCATGGGGAATGATTTAAAAGAATCATTGATAGCTTTGGTGAAGAACTGTCTCTTTCTAACCTAAAGGACAACAAACAGGGAACTGAAGCTCTTTCTCATTCATGTCTCTGAATTTCCATCTGTACTTTTCTTTCTGTATTATTTGTGACCTTGCCCAAACCATCGAACTATTCTGTATTTATTTGTCTTTCTTTTAAAATGTTTGTAACTTAGGGACGATGTTAAGACCTTGTAAAGAGGTGAATTTATATATTAGGTCAGTTTTGCAAATGTCTGCAAGATGTCAAATAACCTTTGAGCCCAGCCCCCACTCTTGTCGTGATGCAGCCACTGTCAAGCCACATGTGGAGAGGAATCCTTCCGCCTTCTACAGTCAAACCTTTAGTCTGCTGGCCTGAGATCCAGCTGCAGAAACAGAGATCTTCACAATGTTTGGACATAAACGAACACAAGTGTTTACAAGTGGCTTAGGGTTGACCAGCAGGAGGCACCTGTGGGAAAGCGTTCATGAAATGCCTGCAAACGTTTGGGCAGAGTCAGTCCCACCACTGTGTTCCTCTCACTGTCCTCGTTCACCCCCAAACAATCAGAATACTCCAGGCCTGACCATCAGATTATCTAAGTCCTAGACTGCTCATGGGGTACAGCATGACTGAAGCAGGGCAAATGAGTTTTCTTGGGTGGTTTAATGTGCATTCTGGGAGAGACTTGCCTCATTCTCGGATCCTGACCACCACGGAGAAGATAATCCTGGAGCTGCCAGGTGTCACCATGTGAAGCAAGTCAACTTAACAATGAAGCCCAGAGAGGAAAGCAGAGGGGTGAGAAGGAGGAGGAGGAAGGAGAAGGGAAGGAAGAGAGGAAGAGAAAAAGAGAGAGAGAGGCTGAAACTGTAGTTCTACTTCTGACATCACTTGAATCTCTGAATCCACATGTGCCTGAAGTTAGACCTACCATTTTATATAACAAAAGGTAAAAAGCAGAACATTAGACAAATACATTTGGTTGTGTATATATAGATTTTCTCCAGGAGGGTACACAAGAACTTAAGCGCAATGGTTGCCTCCAGGGAGAGGAACTGAGAGGCTGGGAGACAAGGGTGGGAGAGCCTTGTTAACTGCGTACCCATTTGCACTTTCTGAATTTCATACCACGCCAATGCTACTCAGGTATAGATAAAATTACAATCGAATGTAAATAAAATAGAAACAAAACACAAACTTCCTTCCACTTTAACCAGTTTGTGGATAATAAAATCCCTTTAAGAGAGGAAAACGGATCTTTAGAGAAATCAACTCCTTTACCTTCCAAGTTTCCTTCTTAAAGTTTTTATCCCCCTGCAGACAGATCAGCACAGCAGCGAGCCATCCATTTCTACTGCGTAAATGTACATGGAGAGAGCAGCCTCAATCCATCGTCCTGAGAGAGGATGCCCAGGGTTTTAGGAATCAGCCATGTAGCTCCACAAACGCTTTATTCTGATGGAGTGACTTGCGCCCTGCAGCTAAAATTGACAGTGTGTTTTCACAGCAGAGTTGTTCGTGCTAAGGCAGTCCGTTTTAGGAAGATTCCAGGCCTTGTGCCTGACGGATGCAAACGCACCCTGCAGCACTGGCTTGGAGGGCAACCTTTCAACTCCCATTTGCTTTCTCAGGACCTGGAGCAGCTGCAAGGCGCCCGAAAGTGTTCCTTACCTGCAGCAATCTTCCGGCGTCCTGCTGCCAGCGCGGGCTCACTAAACCGGCGGTGCGGCAGCCAAGGGGCTTCGGGAGATTTGGGCGCGCAGTGGCCTGGGGCAGCTCCCGGAGCCTAGCGCGAACGCAGTCCATGCGTGTGGAACGAATGCGAGTCGCGAGCATAGTAAATGCATGAGGGACTAAAAGGAGTCCAGACCAGGGAATGGGTCACCACGGTGACTTTAAATACCCAGGGACTGACTGTGAAGTGAAGGAGAGCTGTCTTTGGAGAAGCGCCACGCCGGCCCTGGTGGAGGCTCCGGACTCCCGCCCGCGAGCCAGGCGTTTGGTAGAGCCAGGCCGGCTCGGGACCCGGTGACCCGTCACTCTGCGATCAGGGAGGGGCCGGACCCCGAGGCTCAGGGGCAAGAGACAAGAAAAGCCTTACTTCCAAGCTGAGAATGACCCTCAGGTCTCGCCTGGGGGCTCCTGGGTGGCGGCCCCGCACCGCA